CCCTCTTGGGGCTGGCCGGCTAACTTGGTTGGTTAGAGTGCACTGTTGGCCACACCAAGGTCCAGGGTTCAATCCCTATGATCAGCCAACCACCAAAGGAAAAAAAAAATAAGAAAGAAAAAGAAAACCCTACTGTGAGTTTGGCTCCATCGGTCTCTGCCTCCAAGTTTCTCAGCTGGCTCCTGTGGGCTACAGGTAAGGACCTTGATCCCGAACCTAGGTCCTACTGGAACCTTAAGATTTCTTGGCACTAGCTGGGCTCTAAGCTCTGGAACCGGAGAGAAGTAGATTGTACAGCCCAAGAAGCTCCAGTGGAGGCCCAATTCCAACTCTATTAGTCATTCATAATGTTCGCCAAATATGGAAGGTGAACTCTTCTGGGCACGTGGTAGGGCTGTTCTTTCCTGCTCCCTGTGTTGGGTAGGGCCAAGTGACTTGTTCTGGCCAATGAGCAGTGAACAGAAATGTGTCATTTCCAGCTAAGAGTATTTAATTGCTGGCACTTGGCCCTCCAGAGATTTCTTACCTCTGCTACAGCGACCTGAAACATTCCAGAGAGTGGCTGCTTCGTCACCTGGTCGTGGAGTGAGGCGCATGGGAAAGAGTCCCCAGATGGTATGCGATGGATATGTAGTGGGAGTGAGACATTTTGTTTTATTTCAGGCCCTTGAATGGAAAAAACACATTCGGTTTCTCTTGCTGTACTCACAACGCGCTTCTGACACCAGATGTAGGGGGAGAGGGGGTTCCCCATACACACTAAGCAAGTCATGAATTTTGCAGTGGACACCAACTGGGTGTCCTCTAATTCAAATCTATTTTGACACTATCTACCTGGAAATAGCAACAGATCCCACAAGTTAAGGGCTCAGTACCAAAGACTGCCCCAACTTCAGATGCCAGTTGCAAGTTCAGGGCCCTAGAAATTTTTTTTTTTTCTTTTCAGTGGCTGGGATCCGAACCCTCGACTTGGTGTTACAACACCATGCTCTAACCAACTGAGCTAACCGGCCATCCCTCCCTGGAACTTCTGACCAACCAGCTATAAATCAGGGTTCACAACCCCCTTCTTGAATTCAATTGATTTGCTAGAGCAGCTTTCAGAACCCAGGGAATCACTTACTTACAATTACCAGTTTATTACAATGGATACAGATAAAGAGATGCGTGGGGCAAGTTATGGGAGGAGGGGCACAGAGAGAGCTTCCATGCCTTCCCCAGGACGCCACCCTCCAGGAATGTCCATGTGGTCAGCTATCAGGAAGCTCTCAGAACCCAGGCCACTTGGGTTTTTATGGAAGCTTCATTACACAGGCACGATTGATTACATCATCGGCCATTAGTGATCAACTTAAACTTCAGACCCTCTCCCCTCCCTGGAGGTTGAGGGTTGGGACTGGAAGACCCTCTAATCCTGCCTTGGTCTTTCTGGTGACCAGCCCCCATCCTGAAGCTACCAGCTATCAGTCCAGTCATTAGTATACAGAAAGACACTTTTTTATCGCTTTGGGGATTCTAAGGATTTTAGGAATTGTATGTCAGGGATGAAGATCAAATATATATATCACAATATCCAGGCCCGCAAGACTTTGGGGTCATTTGTTACAGCAATAATATCTAACTTATCCTGACTGATACAGCACCCCACCCACTTCACGGCCCCTGGGCTCTGTATTAGTTTGCTAGGGCTGCACAACACAGCACAGTAGTCCCCCCTCATCCAAGGTTTTGCTTTCTGTGGTTACAGTTACTGCAGTCAATCCTGATCTGAAAATGCTAAATGGAATATTCCAGAAATAAACAATTCATAAGTTTTCAATTGCACACTGTTCTCAGTAGCGTGATGAAATCCCATGCCATTCTGCTCCATACAGCCCAGGACATGGATCATCTCCTTGTCTAGGGTCTCCATGCTGTCTACACCACCTGTCTGTTAGTCACTTAGTACCTGTCTTGGTGATCAGATTGAAAAAACAGTGTATACAGGATCTGGAACTATCCGTGGTTTCAGGCATTCACTGGGGTCTTGGAATTTATTCTCTGGTGGACTATACCAGATTGAGTGACTTAAACAACAGAAATGTGTGGTTTCACAGTTTTGAAGGCTAGAAGTCCAAGATCAAGGTGTCAATAGGGTTGGTTCTTTCTGAGGGCTGTGGGCGAGAATCTGTTCTGTGCCTCTCCTTTGCTTCTGGAAGCTTCAGGCTTTTCGTTGCTTGTAAATGGTGCCCTTCCTGTGTCGTCACAGGGTCTTCCCTCTCTGTGTATCTGTCTCTGTGTCAAACTTCCCCCTTTTATAAGGACACTGCCCTAGTGGATTAGGACTTACCCTAATGACCCTCCTTTAACATAATGACTTCTTTAAAGGCCCCATCTCCAAATACAGTCACATTCTGAGGTACATGGGGGTATGACTTCAACATATGAGTTTGGGGGGACCTAAATCAGCCCATAACAGGCTTCATTCCAACTCCAAGGTGCCAGGGGTGCCAGCCCGCCTGGGATCCTTGAGAGAAGGTGTGGAAGGAGGTTGATACCAGCCTGAGTAGGCGAGGAGACCTGCAGTACTGTAGGGGTAGACTTTAGCAACCAGGGAGCTCGTGCTAGACCCATGGGGGACTTTCCTGCTAAGGACCAAGTGCTACTCTAGAATGGAAACCTCAACCAATCCACTTCCTGGAGAAACAGCAGAGTGGTTGGTGAGCTTATGCATATGAATCCTGGCTCCATTTCCTAACAACTGTGTAACTGAACCCCCTTTCCTGAGCCTCTGTTTTCTCTTCTATAAAATGGGATAACAATAATAATGCTCCGAAGAGCCAGTATGAAAATTCAGAGAAAATATGCACGCATCAGCAAAAGGCCTGGTGTACGGTAATCTCTCCATAAATTCATCATTATCATAACTGGTGGCGGTGATGTGAATATGCACTTACGGAAAATAAGGTGGTCTCAGGGTGGGAGTGTCTGAAGATTCCTAGAGAGGGAGAGACCTCTCAGGGATTTCTGCTTTGTCTTCAGAGCTTGATCTCATTCAACAAACATTTATTGAGCACCCACTATGAGCCAGGCGCTCTTTTACGCAAGGTTGTTCCAGTGATGAAACTTATATTTGAATGGGTCTTGCAGGTATAAACAAGTAAATAAACAAGGAAACCAACTGAGAAGAGTGAAAGTGCATTAAAGGCAAAAAACAAGGAGCAGGCTGGATGGGGAAGCCACCTTAGACAGTAGCTTCAGACAATCTGAAGAGGGGGCATTTGAGGACAGACTTATTCAGCTACACAAATAGAGAGCCAAGGGCTTCGAGCCAGGAGTCAATGGAGAGTGTGAGGAACAGAAAAAATGCTGTGCAATTGGAGCGGCGTGAGCAAGGGTGTGGTGGAAGCAGTCAGGATGGAGACGCCAACAGATGGCTAATCTTGGGCTGAATTTTCAGCTTCACGTGGCCTGCACAAACCCAGAGATCTGGAGGGGGGAGGGATGATGGGGGTTTGATGGGAAAGGCAGAGAGGGGTCTTAGTAGCACCTCGGACAGCCCCCCTACTGTCCATGGTGCTGATAGCCGAGGAAATGACAGCTGGTCGGAAGGTAAAATGGTGCAGCCACTGTGGGAAAGAGTTTGGTGGTTCCTCAATTAAGCACGGAATTACCATGTGACCCAGCAATCCCACTCCTGGGTAATACCTAGAGGAATTGAAAGTAGGGACCCAAAGAGATATACTCCTATGTACACCCCTGTTCTTAGCAGCATGATTCACAACAGCCAAAAGTTGGAAACAACCCAAGTGTCCATCAAGGGATGAGTGGATAAACAACGTGGTCCATCCATAACACTGGAATGATTCAGGCTTAAAAAGGAAGGGAATTCACGGGCCGGCCTGTGGCTCACTCGGGAGAGTGTGGTGCTGATAACACCAAGGCCACGGGTTCAGATCCTATATAGGGATGGCCGGTTAGCTCACTTGGGAGAGCGTGGTGCTGACAACACCAAGTCAAGGGTTAACATCCCCTTACCAGTCATCTTAAAAAAAAAAAAAAAAAAAAAAGGAAGGAGATTCTGACATGTGCTACAACATGGACGAACCTTGAGGACATCGTGCTCAGTGAAATAAGCCAGGCACAACAAGGATACTGTGTGATCCCACTCACAGGAGGTCCCTAGAGTCATTAGATCCACAGAGACAAAGTAGAATGGGGGGTGCCAGCGTCTGGGGAGGGGGATGGGGAGTGAGTGTTTAATGGGGACAGAGTTTCAGTTTGGGAAGATGAGAAAGTTCTGGAGAGGATGGTGGGTGATGGTTGCATAGCAATGTCAATGTGCTTAATGCCACATTACAGTGCACTTAAACATGGCTAAGATGAGGCACTGGTTGGTTAGAGAGTGGTGCTAATAACACCAAGATCCAGGGTTCAATCCTGGGCCAGCTGGCAAAAAGAAAAAAAAAAGGCTGGCATTTCACACCAGGAAGCCTGGCTCCAAATCCAGGCTCTTAACCAACAGCCAGGACAGTCAGCAAGAGTCCCTGGAGACAGGTCTGGGAGCACAGTGGGGATGGGGTCATTCTGTGTGACCTCAGCTGAGCACAGAGTAGGTGCAATGCCTGGGGAGTCTCTGAGAGCAAAGTTCTTGAGGCCCTTGTGTGTGGCTGGGGGTGTCCGTCCTTTGGGAACTGGACTCAGCAGTGCACACAGTAGGAACATTCAGCACACACGGAGCACCTGTACACGGGACTAGTCAAGGGGCAGAAGCTGTGGGCACTTAGTAGGGAAAATGAGGGGTGCCAGAACAGGCCCCCAGGAGCCCCTGGGAGTGGCCCACAGTGATCGGATGCCCTGCGGTCTGCAGCTAGCACTGAGTGGGACTACAGGTGAAATCCAGGGTGGCGCTCACAGTGGGAGGATGAGCTCCAGGCCATTTCAGACCCCAGCCCCTACCATCCTGAGTTCAGAAGGTGGGGTGAGGTGCCAACCCAAACCGAAAGATGACACCAGGCCACTTCGAAGAGGTGACAGTTTACTGGGGGAGAGGGGTGCCTGGTCAAGTTTTCAGTGCAGTGCTGTCCCTCTTCCTGGGGCAGATCAGTCCAGTGTGTGGGCCCTCGAGGCCAAGGGAGACCCAGGAGGTCGCAGGCATAGCAGCAGCAGGGGCAAATTCCCCCCAGAGGGCAAACCCCCAGGCCTAGTCCAGGGGCGGGAGAATGGCGGACCGCTGGTGAGGTCCTCAGGCATCTGCAGCTGAGCTGGGAGGCTCCTGGGGCAGACAGTGCCTGTGCCGGAGGATTGACTTCTCTTCCTCCTGCAGGGACAGGCCACACACACTTGTCACCTAGAACAGGACTCGGATACACATCACTGCATACATGTCAGCCATGACACCCAACAGAAGCGCCACTCCAACACGTGCCACCCAGCACATGGCACCCACACACGTCAGCCAAAATTCCAAAACTCGCGTCTCCCAATGCGTCCCACTCAAAATTAGTGTCATCCCAGAAGTCAATGTCGCTCTCACGAGTGTTGCTTCAGAGGTTTACCAGGCTTGTCAATCGTAATATATTGGCTGGCAAGACGACATTAATGTATCGTGCTACACCGACACCTCTCTAACGGCCTCTGTGACCCAATGGGGGCTACTTGACACATCAATTCCAAGATGTGAAACCCCCCACGTGTCTTCAACATGTGCCACATCCCCGGCAGCCACCACATAGGTCTCAGACATGCCACCTCCCGTCAGGGGCCTAGAGGGCGGTCACCCGCACTCACCATCTCGGAGGCAGTGCTGGGGCTCGCACCCTCGGGGGAGCCCCCTTCGTCCCTTGAGCAGTCTGGTCCCACGTCCTCTTCATATTCCGTGAGGCAATCTGATTCCTCCCCTGGAATTGGGGAGTGGGCCACAGATAATCTGACATCCCCAGCCACCCATACCAGCTCCAGGCCCAGCCCCACCCTCCCAGAGGTCCCCTCGGCCCCTCACCATCAGCACAGCCATCAGAGATGTAGGTCGTGGGGGGCTCGATCCGGGATACGATCTCTGCCAGGTCGGTGAAGCCAGAGCTTGGGAAGGCAAGCACCTGTGGAGTGGTGTGGGTCAGGCTCTTGGGGGTCCACAAGGTCCTGGAGTGTCTGGGGGTGGCCCAGTGGTGACTTGGGGGCTCAGAAGTGATCCTTGGGGGGGCAGCTCTCTGAAGTCAGCGGAGGTCTGTGGGGCTCCACGGAACTCAGAGATGAATGGGGTCATGTGAGGTTTGGGGGAGACCCAGAGTTCAGGGTTCTAGAATCTCTGAGTCATCGTGATCCCAACGGGGGACTGTTATAAGCTTACATCTGCACGGCGGCTCTCGTTAAGGTCCGTAGAGCGCCGGTCTGTGAGCATCTTCTCGATGACATTGCCCCGGCTCCAGCCTCCAAACACAGCCTTCCCATACTGGTAGCCCACATCCTGCAGGAAGCAAGGGGCTGGGGGCCATACCTGCAACCGCCCTCTGCTAACCTCCACTCTGTCTGCCTTTTCTCTGGCACTTCAAAAGCCTCACACTCCAGGGGAGGTGGCATTTGAGATTAAACCCTATTTCAGAGTCAGTCACATGTAGCACACTAACCCACACATTCCCTGTCTGTGCCCTGCCAGACATTACCAATCAATCTCTCCACATTCCTTCCCATGCAGTGAGCTGAGTACCAAATGACACAAGATGGTGATGTGCGAGCCTATTTCAAGGTCTGCAAATACGCAGTACCTCTGCAGATATTGCCGTGTCCTGTGCCCACAGCAGACATCACTAATCCATCATGGTATGCTTTCTCAGTGAGCCCAGAAGGGACATCGCACATTTTTACTTGGGGCCTCTGGGTAGCAGCTACTGATCAATTTCAGTTGGCATGAGCTAGAACACATAGTTCAGGGTCAGTGGCACATAACATACACACTGCCACATCCCTCTCCCAAACCCATGACAGACATTACTAATCGATTGCTGTTCTCATTCCCGCCAATGCAGAAATGGCATTAGAAATTGTTGGGCTGGTCCATGGCTCACTTGGGAGAGTGTGGTGCTGATAACACCAAGGCCACGGGTTCAGATCCCTATATACGGACGGCAAGTTAGCTCACTAGGGATAGCGTGGTGCTGAAAACACCAAGTAAAGGCATAAGATCCGTTTACCAGTTATCTTATAGGAAAAAAAAGAAAGAAATCACTACATGGCACTTCAGGCAGTGCAGTTGACACATAAGGAAAAACCTAGGTCATACATAGCACACACGTAGCCACATCCCCTGCCACACCCACTGTAGACATTACTAATTGGCCACCCATCTGTTTCCCATGAATTCCAGATGGAGCCCTAGAATCCCACCCCTCACACTGCTCTGGGCTTTAAGTAGTAAAGCTCTGCCAGCCCACCACACTGATGCCACGCCACTCCCATCTGCTCACAGAGATCTGGTCGAACTTCCCGAAGTCCATGGTCTTGAAGCAGTCGATGGGTGGGCGCAAGTACTCGCAGTAGGAGCTAGATTTGACGACCTCCAACTGCCTCACGCAGGACACATAGGCCAGGCGGGACTGGATCTCGGCCATGTCTGGAACCTTCACCTTGTCCGCCCAGGGGTTTAGTCGCTTCCATAGCAGCCACCAGCCAGATAGGCAGTCCCCGTAGGTGCTAAGGTCTGTCTCATCCTGGCTCCCCACGTCGATGGCAATGACTGTTTTGGCACCCATGCTGCGGGCTATGTCCGCTGTGGGGCAGGGGCATCAGCGGGCTACTCTCCACCAGGGCCCGGGGCAGAGATGTTCAACCCAGTCCCATGAACATCAACACGCAAATGGTCATGCAAAAAAAAAAAAATCATGAAATGACATGCTGTCACGAAAATGGCAGGGAAATGGGTATAAATGAAGTCCAGTGGGTGGGGGTCAGATGTTGGAGCTTTGAGGTCTGGGGAATCAGGACCAGAGGAACCAAGTCACCGGGGGAAAAAAGACACAGGCCAGACCTGAGGGCATCAGAGATGTGGAAGGAGAGAGACAGAAAGATAAAGACTAGCGACAGCAGGAGAAAGAGATAGTGGGTCAGAGAACATGAAAGATAGAGAATCCAGGGGCAAAGAGGGAACTCGGGGCTGAGACTAGGGACAGAAAGCAAAGATCAGGGACAGGAGGAGACTGAAGAAGCGGGACAGAGGGGGTGGGTAAGGGTGGAGTGTTGGCCCAACGAGGAGGGTGGTGTGTCCATGGGCCAGTATTTGCATGTCCGTGTGTCCTGCAGAGGGTCCCTGAGTGGTTCCAGCAGGCAAAGACAGTGTCCTGTGGCCAGGCCCACCCCAAGAAGACACCCGCGTCTCCATCGAATTTTACACACACATCTCTCGTGAGTTTGTTTTTCTGGGTACATGTGTCTGTGTGTGCCTGCTCACATCCTTCCTGTCTGAGAACCAGAGGAGGCCATGTGTTTGTGAACACATACATCTCTGCGTGGCCTGCACCACTGTAGACGCACCTGGCCTGTGTTGGTTTTGGTTCATGTGGCCCTAGATTAATGTCTGTACGTGTGTGTATGTGTGTGCCCATCTACCTGTAGGTCTGTGCACACCCACTCACGTGTGTGTCGCTGTGGCAGTGCGTTTATCTGTACAGAGCCCCTGTGGCAGTGGCAGGACTTGGCAAACTCTTTCTGCAGAGGACCAGAGAAAAAATAATTTTGGCTTTATGGCCACATGGTATCTGTTCCAACAATTCAACTATGCTGTTACAGCACAGAAGAAGCCACAGACAATACATAAATGATGGTGTGTGGCTGTAGTCCTAACAAAACTTTATTTATAAAATCAAGCTGAGGGCTGGATTCAGCCTGCAGGCTAGGCCATAGTTTGCTGACCCCTGGCCTAGGGGACCATGAGCATGTGTGCAGCTAGTACACATCTATTTGTGTATGCACAGTTCTTGGGGTGTGAAATTTTATGTTGCGTACCTTCCTGCCTCTCGTCTGCACTCATAAAGTCAGAGAGCATGACTTGGTCACATAGATGCCCTGTTCTATCTGCCTAGGTACACTTGTGCCTAACTGTGTGCACGTGTGTCTAATTGCATGTGCATATGAATGTGTGCACTACCTACCACAGGGGCATCTGAAAGAATGCGTGTGCACGTGTCCTTGGCACGCATGCGTAAAAAAGCCCCTTTTGGGGCCGGCCCCGTGGCGCACTCGGGAGAGTGCGGCGCTAGGAGCGCAGCAACGCTCCCGCCACGGGTTGCGCTCACTGGCTGAGCACGGTGCGGGTGACACCACACCAAGGGTTGTGATCCCCTTACCGGTCACGAAAAAGACAAAAAAAAAAAAAGCCCCTTTTGAGCCCACGTTCCTGGATGCATGTGTATCTGTGCACAGACATCTGCATCCCCGTGTGTGCACATCCATTTGTGTCTAACACAGCACATAAGCACACACAGATGTACCTCGCAGCTACACATGTTGCTGTCCCTGGGCACACCCACATATCTGCTCATGCATGTGAGCCCCTGCACAGCCTGCCTGTGCGTGTGTCCTCCCCGAGCCTGTCTGCGTGTGCCCATCTGCTTGCGTGTTCAAGTCTGTGTGCAGGTGTGTGGGCAGCCACTTGCCTGGCAGGTTGTTGATGTAGCCGCCATCCATGAGGAGGTGCCCATCCTTCGGGTCACACAGCGGGGGCAGGTAGCCCGAGAGCGTCATGCTGGCACGCACATACCGCCACAGTGAGCCTGCCCGGTGGGACACACAGACACAGACACGCACAGACATGCTCAGACACGCTGGGAGGCCCGGCCAGCCTGGTAGGCTCGCTGACCTGGCACGTTGTTAACATAACATCCGTCCACCAGCAGGTGCCCGTCCTTGGGGTCACACAGTGGGGGCAGGTAGGGGCAGTAGGAGGCACTGGCCGGACGTAGTGCCACACACAGCCTGTGGGGATGGCGTGAGGGGATGAGGCAGCCGACAAGTTTCCCGGCTCCCCGCCCCTGAGGACAGACATACCTGGGGCCTCCAGGGCATTAGTGGGTGATGGTTAGTGGTCGACGATCAGGCCAGGGTGGACGGTCACTCATGTTAACAATGTCCCAGATGTTCAGCTGCCCTCCCTGAAGCACCCCCCCCACCCCCACTCGGCCACAGCGGTTGTTGCAGAGGCAGGTAGGGGCACCCACCATCTTTATGGACACGCATGGCCGAGGCGGTGATGTCTGTGGTCACGTTGAAGTACGGCAGCCACAGGTCCTACGGGACAAAGATCAAGGTTGAGGAGGACTGGGGGGAGCCTGTGGGGAGGGGCGAGCAAGGCAGAGTATGGCGGTAGGTATACCTCAATCTGCTTATCCTGGAAGACACGGTGGATGCTGCGGTTAAAGGCTGAGCCCGTGAACATGGAGGTGACCGGGTAGGTGAGATCCAACACAGGCTCCAGCACTGAAGTCATTCTCTAGGGACAAGGGGGCCAGCTGGGGTCGAAGGGGAGTCACTTGCGGTCACAGAGATCACCAATTGGGGGTCAGCAAGGAGCATTCATGGATGATGAGGTGGTCACCCAGGGCCACTAACAAGGTGGTCACCAAGGGACCTGATAGTCCTAACTGGGGGTTAGAGACTAGGGTTACTAGCCAGGAAGTCACAGAAAGGTCATCCAAGGTCTCATAAATATCTCTTTAACGGTGCAAAGATTAAATGAGGAAGGGTCATCATGAGCCCGAGGCCGCTGGGGGTTCAGGTGATGGCGGAGTCACAGGTTTCATGGAGCTCCTGGGGTGCGGGGAGCCCTGCCCCCAACACACACCTTGGCCCACTCGCGGGCCCGCTGCTTAGTGCGGCTGGCGCTGCGCTCCTCAGCGTACAGGGCCCCGATGAAGGAGCCAATGGACGTGCCGCCCACCAGGTCGACAGGGACTCCCGCCTCCTCTAAGGCTTTCAGCACCCCAATATGCGAGCAGCCCCTGCAGAAAGAGGGTACCCAGTGAGCTGCTGGGGATTCACTTGGCCCCGTCCCCCGGAGCCCCCTCCCCCATAGCCAGCCCCCCGCCCACGGGGTATCCCTCAGGGACTAAGCTCCACCCCTCAGTACCAGCAACCCCGCTCCCCCACGCCGGACGCCCCCCC